CAACTGAGCTAAAAACGTCGCAGCATGAAAAGTCGTTGACTAAAGATAGCATGATGAAATCTTCCGGAAATTAATAGACTTTAGCTTTTTAACTGATACTAAAGAATAGTTTGGATGCTCAAATATTTCCAGTGTGAAAAATAGTGAAACATCAGAGAAAAAATTCGCTTTAACTGTGAATTAAAATTTCCAAAATTTTGAATCGATCAGCGTGTAAGCGTAGAGTTACTCTTTTATTACGCACTCAGATCGCAGACTCTATAAAAAGTGTAAAACGCATTGCAGTGCGAAAGTTTAAGTTGATTTGATAGTATACATTTGTTTCTACATATATCTTTTGTATATATTTTTGAAAACCTTAAACGAAAAACCTTGAGTTCAAAAGCTAATATTTCGTATTTATGCGCTTCGGTTAAATGCATAGACTAGATTTGAAAATGATTATCTCGCGCTTGCAAACGTAAGAAGCTGAAAAGTTCAAATTAGAAGTTATCTTCAACAGTCAATGGATTCTACCATAAATGAAGAGAAAAGCTTTTTAACTTTTTTCAGAAACCGTTCGCCAAAAACGTCCTTTACTTGCTTTGATGGCGCGCGTGATTATGCGCGTTTGTTTATTAACAAAATATTTTTGAAATTTGATAAGCGAAGAATATGGTTGTCGCATTATGAAAAAATATTTAAATTAACTAACGTGTTATGATTGCAAAAATATTTCATCAAAATTGATTATCAATCGTTATCTGCTTAAGAAACGAGCTTGAAGAAAGCCGGATGCTTTGCTTCTCCTTCGCAGATAGCACTAGAACTCACAAATAAATTTAAAAAAGCACGTTACGGCTACTTTTTGCTATGCTCTGCAAAGCTGTCTATCAACATCTATTCGGAAAATTTGGATTTGAAGCGAGGACTTTTCAGGGAACTATGTTTAAAGACTTGCATTCATTTAAGACATAGATGCCGATAACTTGCCATCATTTTACATTCAAACAATACATACATGTTTGTCATTTCGAAAATTCATTTCACTTCATTCATAGCTCCCAGCACGGTTTATATATATTAATAATCTTCATTATACTAATAGCGTAAGATCGGTTGTTTTCAAAAAGAGAGCAATTAGGGACACCAAGTAACATGTACTTTCAAATTAAATGAAACGCACACTATTAATAGAGTTATTAAAGACAGAAAAAGTCCATTAAGAGCGCTACATTTATGCGAACCAGAACTCAAAATTATTTCTGCGATCCCTTCTACAAAATCCTTCGACACAGGCTCACAGCGATTGATGACACTGACTATAATACCAAGCATCTAGCGAAAGGATCTCTTTATGATAATAAAGACAGCCAACTATAACTAGTCATAGAGAACCTCTCACTATATATTATGCTTTATCAGTTTCTTTCACTTGCAAGTCGTTTGAATTAAAGAAGTTATTGAATCGTAGCAATTTTAGCAGCCCAAAGGGTACATTATTGGGTTCGTTCAGATGTTTCACAAATCTGCATTTGCCCTTAAATCAATTTGATCGCATTTAAGCTACTTGGTCGATCGTGAGGAGCATCTTTGTAAATGGACTTAGCTTCTTTACTTATGCGAGTAAGTTTAAATCAAAAGATCATAAATAAAATTTAGTATGCAATTGTTTTGCTAATAACACATAGCACACCTCTGGAGATTCAATGCCAACCTGAAACCATTTCGATTAAATGCGCAGAGAACGCAATTTTATCAAATACCTGGGACAGTGAAGAAATTCAAGACTAACTAACTTCACTAAACTTTTAGTTGAAACGTATCAGCTGGATCTTCCCATCTTTACAGTCGCAGTAGTACGAAGATTCTATGCTTCCATTAAATTTACTGAATCAGCGCCGAATCGAGCGTGACCGAACTTCTCAAATATCAACCAATTAACAAAAGGAACAAAAAAATGTTTATATTGTCTATCATCAATCTCATAGGGCACGTTAACGTATTGAAGGCGAAATTGTGGGCACATCACGTTTAATATACTAATACCCCGCGTTATGATTTAATACTGCTAAAAACGATCGCTATTTATAGGAACACGTGGGCCATGATAAATTGTTTATACCAAATTGCCTTGTTTGAGCAACATCTTACACTTGCAGAAACCATACAAGAGTGTTTCGACAACAAACGCTTTTCATCATTGTTTTCCTGAATATAACAAAACATTTAACAAAGTTTAGCATATTGGATCTTAAATGTTAAGCTTAAGAGAATGTTCGAGTTTACCCAAAAAATCATTACTTTGAAGTGAAAAAATGTAGTAAAATGCTTAATCCTATAGTACAATAGGGTAGAATGACTCGTATCGTATCTGCTGGTCTAGCCCAGTCCGAGAAGACATTAACGGGTGCATTTGGTAATGAGGCTTCTGCAATTGTCTATAAGGCCAATCCGAATATTGTTGGCTGCAATTCCCAGGAATACGGAGTTGATGTGACCAGATGCTTAAAGAATTGTGAGAAGTGTACATTTCGGCTCTCTTTTTAGAAAAAGACTATCGCCATTGGTTAAATTGAACGGCATTTATGTTGCCGAATAGGATGACGTTATGTAGCTCGAGATTCATTTTTGATATGAAATTAATTTTAAAAAAAAAAAAAAAAATCATTTAAACTAAACATATAGCTGTCGCAATTAAGACTTACTAAACCATTACTTGCGCAATATTATGGATATACTGTTTCACTTCAAAATTTTTCCAACATACAAATATATTATCACACCATTTTGAAACAACTATACAGGTATATTGCACACTTTTCGCTCGTAAGACTGTAAACGCTCCTTAATGCCCTACTGCAATTAGACTGCACTTGGTGGGCTATAAAATAGATATGAATGCTCATTCGAACATCTTACGAGTTGATCTGATTTTAGAGATAACGACCTTTGGCGCACCACAAAGACAAATCTCATGCGATATCTTTTTAAAGATTATTTTTGCAAAATTTAGATTGAGATGATCATTGAATCACTATCGCTGTGTTATCCTTCATTACCAAATAATTCTACTAAATACTTAAACAATGATTTTTTTGATTTGACATGCAACGTTCTCATCAATTGGAGTAAACGTTTTTGATGCGTCCAATTTGTTTGCCCGAGGTGATAAAGATTTGCTTTAAGACTAATATTATCTTCTTAGTCGCCCAGAATTAATTCGTCAAAACCGAATTTTTTGAAAAGGATTATATGAATATTATATCTATCTTCAGTTCAATATACATTTTTTAACATGCGCTAAGTAAGCGCAAATCCCTCAGAAAATATCAAATGAATGTTCATTATAGCATTTCAGGTTGTTAATAAAAATAGTTAAGGATAATCGACTTTTTCGATTTATTTTGCACTTAGATCACTAATTACCGCGTGGATGTGCTCTTCCTAGCAGAAGATGTAATCGATGAATTCAATACATCATCAGTACTCTAGCATACAAATGTAAGATTTCCTGCTCCTTTCCTGCTTTTGATTATTTGATACGTGAGCGGACGTTTTAAGATGTACATGACGACTCGAATTATCCAAATGATAATAATGGTCGTGAATTGCACTGAGCGAACTTGCGGCGAATTTCGACGAAAACTTTGCAAAATTTGCGGTAACTTTTATTATTCGATTTGTAATTAATAGGCTTCGACAAGTTGAAGTCCGGAAAGTAAGCAGAACAAGTATTACGTGACTAGTATTACGTGAAGAAGCAAACGTAAATCATTTTGCCAATTAAAAAGTATAAAAATTATAATGTTTTCGATGTTGCCAAGTGAGGAAATTAATATAACTTTATCTTTCGATGGTGATAAAGTTTAAATGCAAAATAAAAAAATAAAAAATGAATTGTAAAATGTAGCACATTCCTTATTACGTACCTTTTATTAGAATTTTTTTGCATAAGAGCTTAAGATGTTGTTCATATACACGCATGCACATACTATGTATGCGTACAACATTATACTATATATAATAATACATATATATAATAAAAATGAAACATATGATTGGATTACTTAACGTATGCATGTACTTTTGACATTCGTTGTTGCTGTTGTTGTGTCGGTGGTACTGGAATGTTTTGTTACACGATCTATGTAAAACAAAAACCGCTTCCAAAATTTAACTAAAAACCGAAAACAATAACTTTAAAAAAAAAATCATTAAAAGGGCATCAAGTGCCTCCTGCAATTTATATTATTATTACATATTTTGGTTTTTAATGATACTCTTATGGTGTAATTGTGATTTGACTGGCTGTAGGGAGAGAAGGATGGGGATGCTTTTGGGTTGGGGGATTCCACAATGACTGCACTACATGCTCATAATGTTTTTTTGAGATGGGTCTGTACCGGACTTATGTATAAGATTACAAAAAAAACGTGCAACACTTACTTTTGCCCAACCAAACACGAAACAATGCGATCATTCGTTCCATCTTCTGTTTACAATCTGTTTTCCTTTCTTATTTCATTTTATATTATTATTATTATTTATTTATTCTTTTTATTTTTTTTTTTTGTATTTAGCTTACTTAATGTGATGACGATGTTGGAGTTGATTATTATCGTTGTTTTTGTTTTATTTTTTATTTTATTTTTTTTTTTTTTTCCACTTTATCGATTGTGTATTGTAGTACTTGTGAGTTTTTTAACTTTAGTCTGGTAGTGAACGTGTTCGAGTTAAGTTACTCTCTAATGGCAAGGTTCTCTTGGGCGTAATGTCGCTAAAAACAGCATACCAACAGTTGGAAAAGCTTTTACTACTGTTTTAAGATTTGTAATTAATTTAAAAGAGAAAGAGTTTTCGCTGGAAAGTGGTTTTCTCACTGAAAATTTAAAAAAAAAAAAACGAAATACTGTTTTTTAGGTGAAATGAAAAAGTTTTCAATAACTTGAAAATGTGACAAAAGTGTTTATTAAAAATCACCCGTTCTTTAAAAATAATACCAATAATAATAATAATAAATAAATAAAAGTAATCGGTCGAGTTAAAATATTCAAAAGTCCAAGTAAATGGGAAAAATGATCTTCAAATACCTTTTAACGTCATTTTTGTAAATAATAAAGACAACATTTTTTTTTTATTAATTCAATGCATGTTTGGAAATGAATTAATACTTATATTCTACTCTTAATATATACCGGTATAGGTTACCGTTTCAAACGTAACTCATCAATAAAGGCAAAAAGATATCTTCGATCCTTAGCTCGATATTCTCTGTTAGCAGATATTCTCTGTTAAGGTAAGAGAATCATCCATCTGAAGCCATAATTATATGCCTCCATTATATATATATGTGCATTCTATATATATCCATTAGCATATGTAAAATGAAAATAATGCAAGATAAGATTAAGGCATTATTCAATGGGTGAAATGGTTGATGTTAAATTCAACCTGTTCCACAAAGAACTCTATAAAAAGATTATAATTTTTTTCCTTTTCTTTATAAAAAACTTAAGGGTAAACACAAGATCATATTGTTATAGGTTAAGGCGGAAAGGTTTGAAATAGTTTCAAACTTAAAGCAATACGCTTAGAGAAAATTTGATTAACTTTTAAACTGGTACAGTCTCAGTACGTGTGTAGAAAGCAAAGTTTGCTGTTATAAGTTCCAATGAGACAACGTAATAGACTTTTTTCTATTTCGTCTTTCGGCTCTTCTCTTTAGTGGGCTTAGTAAGGTAAATAAATGGATCAATAATTACATCAAAGATTCCATCAGCTCCTAACTCAATATCTATATTAGACTTCTCTTAATCACTCCCTTTCGCTAAAGATGTACGGTATAAAAACGCGATTGTCCATACATCTGGGCGGGTGGGAAAGCCATACATTATAGGCTTTGAGAGCTGCTTAAATACTTGCGGTACTGCGAGCTAATAGACAAATTAAGATATGCTAGTAGATTTTATTATGACAATTTCTTTTTGTTTGTAGGTGACGAGGAGGGGAATTTTAAGATGGAAGAATTTTCTTTCGCTATTAAGATTTGGTTAAGACTGAGAATGAAATTTTGTATAAGAAAGACGTTTTAACAACAACAAATTTCTTGAATGGTAACAAGATAGTGTTTAGCGCGGCTTTTAGGCGAACGCTGTAATTATTGACTTGATCGTTATAATGAATGGATTGTGTTATCAAACGATCTTGAATTCCCCGTTTGGCCGGAAACAAAACAAATAGCCCATTGGCCAGTGGTTCTTTAGCGTGGAAAATTTAAAATCTCATCGATTTTTTACAGACTTTCTGGCTGTTTCCTATAAGAAAAAAACTGCGTCATTTTTTAACCCAACATGCTTGTGATTAATTCGACGTAAAATCCTCTTAATAAAGTCGTCTTAGGGCTTAAAAGAAGAAGAGTGTTCTTTTTTTCTAGTACTTTATATTAATATCTATCACTGGAAGATACTATGTACGTAATTTATCATTCTAATTATAATAGTCACGTGCTAGAGACTTTGTAGAGTACATATATTTTGAAAAGTATAAGATTCTGAGTGCGCCCTTCTTTTCTTTCGTTCGCTAGTCTATTCGCTGTAGTTTGAGTGCTTCTAGAAAGGAAAATTTACTACGGTCATAAATCGAGTTTTGATGGCACACTTAATTCATCTATAAGAGAAACCAAACTGTTTAGTTTCCAACTTATACGGTATAATACCTATAAGGTATTAATTTAAAGTAACTTAGAACTTCAGTATACAAATGACAACTACTCGGTCAATTGACATACCATGTTCGCATATTTGCTTTACGCAGTGATTATCGAAGGGTAGTCTATTATTATCAAATACTATTTAAATATGTTCTTCAGTTATATAAAACTGGACAATTTTAAACTTGCAGGAGATTGAGTTTTGCCAGTTACTCTGGCCGTTTCAGTTTATCAATAAAACAAATAAAACTATTGTAATAGGGCAATACCCTACACCATCTCGCTTGATACAACTCTTCATGTATTTCGCTATTAAAATATTACAAATTTGGTTTTATTTTCGTGCAAGACCATACTTTTTATGGGAATCATTCTATAGAACAAGCTTGGTCCAAATTTAGTAAAATTATTTTTTTCACCTATTTTCTTCACCAGCTATTCAGAATTAGTTTGTTGCATATAAAAACTTATATTTCATAAGCATACTTTGATGAGGTTTTGTCCAAAGTAGAGCCCTATCTGGTTCAACTTTGGTATGTTTATTTGTAAATCAAATTATACTATCATAGGCTAGTTTTCACTACAAAATATTGCAAATTACATCATTTTGCTTGCTCTTCATAAGATTGGGTCAATGGGAGGAAGTTCAAATATTTTACGTCAATTAAGTACTTCGAAATACTATTATATAGCAATTATTTTTCAAGAAATTTTGAAAATTAAAAAGTTGTTTGTAAGTTATATGACTTTTTCAAAATAAGTTTTTATATTGAGAGTGGTCGTAAAAACGATCCCGTCTAATCAATTTCCGATCAGCTATGTTCATACGTGAAAACATGTCAGTTAGAAATTACGATCTTCAAATTAAATACAGAAATACATGAATGACACCAGGCAGACAGGCTGATAAGCAGACAGATAAATTTAAATCGGTTTACGAAATGATTCTAAATAGATCGTTATAATAGAAGGGGAGTGCGCCTACTTTGAGTTAGTTGTTAAGTGGGTGTTGCACACATACATTTACACAATTTTAATATACCCTGTACGATGTGGTGGTGTATGGTATAAAAAGAAATAGCTGATGAGACTGTACTAGATAGATACTTTGCGGAATTTCCGATTCGTTCTATTGATATGGGAGACGAGATATCACTCACTACCAATGGTTATAAAAACATTCAATGCTATAAAACATTTATGAATCAATTTTTAATCCACGTACAGATTATTCATTTCATTATTATTAATCATGTCTCAATAAATGTTTCTTAAGTTAAATCCCATGAAAAACCGTATGAAACAGAAAGAGATCTCAGCTAAATGAATAAATATTTTAACGAAAAGTTGAAAACAAAATAGACTTTAGAAAAACATTTTAAATTAAGGGCAAAAAAAGAAAAAGATGAACAAAACAAATGTAAAAGCTGCGAAAATACCTTAAGGCGAATCTTTTATAGTCATTAGATTAGGTTAATGGATAAAAAATATTAAGCGCCATAAGAAATATATGTATAAAAATTTTGATCTAGTAGGCCTTCGCCTAATCTATGTTTTAGACGATCTAATATAAGCAAATTCGCAGATCGTGTCAGTTAAACCGACAGAGCAAAATAAAAAATTTAATTTATCCCTAATAAATTTATTGGATGTTTTTAGACGAATTCTCCGCTTACTGCGGGTAGTAAGTTTTTAAAAGTAATTTATTGTACTTTCTTACTTTTTAAAGATTCTCGCCATTTGCGCAAGGGAATCGTTTTCATCTTCCCGACTATTTATGGTACAGGTTATATGCGGACGTATTGCAACAGCCAGAAGGAATTGAGATAGACCCACCCTGTTATTATACTGCTTACACTTTCTGAATCGATCTACGCTTGTCTCCTGACAAATGCAATCCGCCTGTCTTTCTGGTCTATCCTTCTGGATATAAATCTGTTTGTAGAGACTCCAATGAAAAGCAAACCGTTCTATAGCGACAAAGTCTAATTCGTAGTTTTTTATGACGGAAGTAACGGGATAATAATAAAATCTTTGACAAGCAATTTAAGTTTGCTAAATTTGGATCATGGTGGTTAATGTTTCGAACACCTGCCTATCAATCCAAAAGCTTTTATTAAAAGTATGTTAGTTATCTGTGTGTTATCACGAAAATCAATTATTGACTACATTAGGCAAAATGATTTAAGGTATCTAACTGTCGACCTTGCCAAACTATAGAGTTCTCGTTTTTAAATTTCACTTAAGAAAATATCTGTCGAGCGTTAGATTTCCATTTGCTTGGTTGGTTCAATAACCTAATTAAAGTGACCCAAAACGTGACCAAAAGTGTAGGGAATCTGTGATCTGTATTTCTATTTATTATCGACATATTTGCCTCTGCTGCTGCCTTTAGAGATAGATGAATAAATGAGAAGGCAAACACGATTTATTGTATAGCTCAAGTGAATTAAGAATTGAAAAAAAATTGATTGATTACGAATGAAATGAAAAAACCAATATATTCATCTGTTATGGCGATGGTGGAGATGATATAAATATGTATATATATGAAAATGTGAGAAATTTTCTATTTAATTGATATGAGTTTTATATTTTTTTGCAAAGATTTCTTTTAAATACTGGCAACAATGATGCTAATACTGTAAAAATATAAAAAAAAAAAACCAAAAAAATTCCTTTTAAAAAATTAAAGGCGTGTCTCTGAAAAATAAAAGAGAAGAGAGAAAAATAATTCATTTAAATGTATTAATAAATAAAAAAGTAAATAAATAAATAAGCAGATGCAAGTCGTTACACCAATATGATGTGCTGAACAATGTGAAAGAAATTGAAATTAAAAAGTTATTAAAATAAAAAAAAAAAACCGGCATCTAATGATTTATCGAACTGTGGATTAAACTTGAGCAAAGAAACAAACGAAATAAATAAAATGTAAGTCCTATTCATAAATGATTTTTTTTGCCGTATATTTTTAAAATTGCTTTTAAACTATTTAAAGACATTTAATCTTACCGTAGACACATGCGTAAAATAAACAGTAATTTCCTCCAACAGACAATAATAAAATGCGATATTAAATGGTAATTTTAAACTTAAATGAATTTTATGAATCACTTCTACAGACCTTCATTTCGTGTGTATATAATGTACCATAGAATTGCATACGTCGATTGATAAAACGAATTTTTCTCTTTTGTTTCTTTTTTTAAGTTTTGTTTTTGCTATCGGCTCTCATTTATTAAATGAAAGTATGTCGATAATGACCGGCTAATTAATTTTACTGTCGTTTTACCATCCAAAATGGAGTGTTAACAAGTTGATTGAGTGGCGAACAAATTCTATATGAGATTATCAAATAATAAATTATAAATAAGAAATTAAAGAATGATCATTTGTTTGTAAAAAAATCAAAAGCAAAGCTTAGAATTAACTTTTTATACATTAGCTGCAGCATATTGTTACGAAAATGCGATATGTGATCATTTGAGTTCCCATTAAAATTAGTCGACTTTCTAACAAACAAAATTCTAAAGAGATGGGAAAACCAAGTACATATTCATGGCGTTTTACCTGCGACATGCAGCTGGCGAATAGATTAACAATAATTCGCAGAAATTTGGTGGAAGAACCTATTAACGGGTTAAAAAGGTCGCGATAGATTTAAGTAATGGTAAGTTGCTTGTAAAAGGGTATTTAAGCAGAATATTTGCGGAAGGCAAAAATCAGAAAAAGGAGTCGGAGAATGAGCCGAAAGTGAAGCGTGCGAGTCGAGTCAAGAAAGTTGATTTGCAATATTCTAACAGACAAGGCCAGAACGAGAAATAAAGTGTTGTACATATAAATTCCTATAAATAATTTGTAAATAAAACCTTATATTATCCTAAAAATCGCAATTCAGTGGTACTGATTACGCACACCCGCTCTTAAGAACCATTTGGTCGCTCTTTTCTGTGTTTTTGGTAAAACTAATAATGCGGCTTTAACATGACGATGTGGCAAATTTTTAATCTAGCAAGACAATCGGGTTTGAGGTCTTGTCCAAGGCTAATTGGCAAAATGATCGTAAACAACGTTCGTAAAGATTAGCAATTTGGAATGTCCCAAACGTGCTTAGACATGCATATAATGAAACTGCTGGTTAATTTTTATTATTAATAAAATGAAAAATTTCACTTTTTTATATATTGTTTTTACTCTCTGCAAAACAGTATTTGATATCTTACATTTGCTTACGTTCGTAGCAGCGTATATCAATTCTTGTTTTTTTTTCATATATATAAAAAATTTCTTCGCTATTATTTGTCGTGGTAAGAGTGTGGCGTGAGGGAAACTAAAGGCATAAATAAAGTTTGACACGGTGAATATTTTAAGATTCCGATATCAACTTAAATGCGTATGTCGTGTGGCTTTTGAAATATATTTCAGATGCCGAAAAATATATCGACCCTAACAGTGAGACACATTTAGTTGTATTTTTTCTTATGTGTCTATAAGTTGCTTGTCTAGTCTTGGTAAGCATAAATCGCGGATTCAATTTAGCCATGTCTGTTTATTTGTCTGTTTGCCACATTAAATAACAATTATGAGTTCCTTATTTGGTCTAGAAAAACCATTTTGGTCTGAAATGTTTTCTACGTCGCTGGCATCTGATTTTATCCGCCTATGAACAAAGAACAAGAAGGCTCCACCCACAATCACCAAAAAAACGTATAATATTCCATTGTTTCCAAATTTTGCTCTTAAAATTGAACAGTTTTCAGGTTAGAGCTCTTAAGTCGGTTTTCAATTTTTTTTCTCTATCTCTCTCTCTCTCTCTCTCTCTCTCTCTCTCTCTCTCTCTCTCTCTAAATAACTGAGAAGAAGATATTGACAGAATATACGCCTTTCCCTCCACCATACTCAATGTTCGTTCAGTCCGCAGTTTTTCATAGTAGCTCGACTACAGAAGGAAATAGATCTATTTTGAAGAGAAAGAATTCCTGTTTGCGACTTTTTTTTTATACATATCACTGAAGGATGATAAGTATATTCATATTGCCAAAAGCTTTACCAGAAAAGTTTCAGAGTTAGTTTGTGTAATTTCTGTTGTAAACATTCTTCTGGCTGCAAAACTGAAACTATCGAGTTAAAATTTGGCAGAAACATTAGGTCTTGCACGCAGGTTGGCATTGAAAATGAGCCAAATTTGTCGAAAGACACGCCTACAGAACTATGTAAACTGGAAGCGCCTCTGTTTTGCAAAAGGAATAGAAAATTGATTTTTTGCCCATTACATTGGAAGTACAAATTTCTGTAAATCTTGTTCCATTCATTACAGACAATGACGTATGTCGCCTGAATAGAACCTTTTTCTTATGTATTACTGTCCTACACGCTGAGTATCGTCCCTCCAGACTTTATGGCAAGGCACTTAGTATGCTTACGACAGAGATTGTAGTTCATTAGAATATGTATAGTAGAATATTGATTCGCATAAATAGCAGAATTGTTTTGAATATGCATGTGATTTGGCTGTCAGTCCGTCTTCTAAAATCATGATGACTTTAAAACTTGTCTAGACAACCGAATTTTGTTTCAATATCTTTCATGGTACTCTCGTCAGATTGATAGTCATATTGTGAGCAAAATTACAGAGCCGCCAGTTTGCGTTACTTAACAACTTTGTTTCATAACAAAATTGATATTAAAGTGTTTTATTCTGACTATTCCATCGGATTATCAAAATTTATAAAGAGTCTAAAAAACCGTAATAAGAAAGAAGCAGAAGCAGTTTTATGACTAGTTATCTCCCACACCGTCAGACATATGTTCTTAAGTGGGAAAATCAGTTCACTGGTTCACTCATAATTACCAAAAAACTGTATAAATAAAGTCAATGGTGTCGATACGGTTGGTGGATCGTATCATCATATACAAAGCTGGAACTATAAATATACAATGCATGTAGCTATGTGAACTAAAAGAATCTTCACTCTATGCTGCGATCAAATGTGATAGTGGCTATTAAAAGATTCGGCCAAATTGGAATAAAACTTCTATTCTTTTAACATATCTGCTTACCAAAGTGTCCGCATTTTTTATATAAATAAATGGTAATAACGGCTTCTACCGTATTTCCGTGGATCGATTACATCAAGTTTACCTTACTAGTCAAACCGATATCTATCGATAACGTTAATAAAAGATCGAAGTGCTGAAAGTCTTGCCTCTGCACGGTATTGTTCAAAATCACATTGTGGATTATGATAAAATTTAAACATGGGCAAATATAGGATGGATTTGATCACATTTAGAGACTCACTTCATGCGACTTTTTTTTCACCTTACATAAATCTAGCAAGTGGGCGCAGAAAGTGACAATTTTTCTCCTAAAATCGAATCAAAATATGACGCAATGACTTTCATTACTTTTCATAAAACTTCTGCTATCAAACGTGTGCCTTATATGAACGATAAATAAATTCTGAAAAATTGAATACGTAGTACATAATATACTAGTGGAGGTAAAGCAACGAAAAGAAATGCTTCCTTAATGAATAATTTTATGTACATCTCATATAAGAAAAAAAGGTTAAAAAATAGTTTAGAGATACGATCTACGAACCTCTTTTTGCAATTATTAAGTTTTTTCTTCCCTTCGTTTCGGCTCTTTACTCAGGAGAAATATTTTACGAAATCCTACAGCACAATACAATAAAATACACATGCATAGTTAACCAGTTATAAAAAAGATTCTTGATTTCGTAGAGAATGTTCTTTCTCGAGAATTTCCTCCAAAACGTCGTAACATAAACACGTACTTTATAAATATTTGCTTAGAAATTGTGACGCGTATTATGGTTTTGTATTTTATAAAACAAATAATGTCAATATAAATTATAATCATGTATGTATATATGAAACAATTGGTATTCCAGCGCAAACTATTTTGAGATTCCATCACAAATAAAACGATACAGAGGCAGGGATAGTTTGCAGCGAATAATCTTGCTATCGCTCTAGTGAAATGAACATGTTTTTATTAGAGGGACTGTAATGCATTTGAGCAGAAGCATGATTATCATGTTTTTGGGCAATTTGAGGAGCTTATTTAAGTTTTGGAGGTTTCATCAGAAGAATTAAGCCGCACAACGGATATAATTAAATTTTTTGTGGCATTTTTTCATTTTATTTTAATTTATGCAAAATTGCCTAAAGCTTATGGCTTATGGCAAGTGTTCAAACAATTTTATGCCAGTATTTTTGATTGAAATGAAATTGCATTCACAACAAAATCAAAGTCTTAATCGAGTGAAAAATGTAAAACAGTTCGCTATAATTTGAATTAAGGATGTATCAAGTTTTCCACCAAGTATTCAATGGTATTTCATACGAATTATATCCGAGGAAAGCATACACACAATTAATATTCATGATTATTGTTAGACTATTGTTGCATTGGAAATTAGTCAGCATAGAAATTTTTAATTTAATGATGAAAGTTTTAATTTTCGCCCCTGTCGATTCAAAGCAGGCAGTCTTGGGAAAAATAAAGCTTTTGCAGGTTCAGTTGATGGGACCGTTTTTGTCAAAACATTTTTATTGATCAACTCTAAAGTTATTTTATTTAAATTTCGGAACGAAGGCAATAAGAACACCGGGG